ATACTACATTAATTAAAAAAGCCAATGTTGATATGCTTTCTAGAAATGCCCAGTTTACCCCGAAGCTTTTAAAACATTTATCATCTCAAAGATTTCTGGACAACTATCTTCCCGTCTGTCTCGTACACGAAACGTGTTTTATAAATAGCTGACGTTTAATGGCTTGCTATTTTTTTTGTGACATTCACCTGTAACTTTGACTCTTTTAAAACGTCAAAAGAAATGTGTCAAGGTTTGTCGAGATGAGGAATAGACTGGTGATATTCGATGAGACTTGTTTTTCGGGCTTTAATAGTCCATTGTCAAGAAGTTAACACTTGCTCCTTTCAAATTAACACATTAGCAGTGAAGTAAAATATTACTTTTAAAGATACTTTTACCGCAACTCCATTTCAAGACAGATACTATATTAACAAATATTATATTATTATTCACAAAAATAATTTAAATAAATATGTTATAAAATATATTGATCACCAACTAAATCTAATCCACAATAATAAAACAGGATTGTATGAATCCCCGTCGTTTGCTCTTACTTTTGGATTCTTTTTCATTGGAAAGAAAACATTTTCCAGATTCTATAAACATATTTTACGTTTAATCTTATTTTGAATCAGAATGTTCACATTTATCTTTTTCAACATCAATAAGATTTTTTTTATGATCAAACATAATCATTACCAATATTTATTAAACTCGTTAATATTTTTTCCTGTAAATACAAGCCAGATGCTAACATCAGTTAATGGTAATATTTATTTTACTGTAATAAATCTAGGAAGATACTTCTCGCATATTCTGTTTACTTTGGACCACTCCTTCCAAATATAATATGAGTAATGATTTCAATATACTATTTTTGGCTTCACCTTGCCATCCACGTGCTTCACTTTTTTCGGTTTTCTGGATTGTATAAACTTTCCTAAAATACTTAATGGATATGTTGGCAACTAAATGCACTTAGCCGTTTAACGAGGTTTAGCGTGTTAAAATAATTATAGTGTACTATGAAAGAGTTAGCTAGATTTGCTATTGATAAAAGATCTTTCAAATATCAAAACAATTTGCTTGATCAGTATGTTTGGATTCTCGTAGAAGTCATAATAATCTTCCACGACACCTGATTATATGATGTAGTGAAATATCTTCATCAGGTGACATTATCTATGATTTCGCTCTTTTGTGTTTGTCTTTTTTTATCTACAATTTCATATTCCTTGTATACTTATTAATATTATATATATTCTAGTTTTACGTCACACTTTTAGCGCTGCAACTATGGTATCAAATAATGTTTCCCCCTAATGGTTTTGGTCATGCCGCTTCAGTTCCGATAATGTCAGCGTCGTAAATAGATCTGTCAAGTTTCATTGAAGTGGCTTAAATATGTGACGTCAGGTTGTGCGGTAATGCAAGTTAATCTTGACATCCAGATTATGGCGAAAAATCTCGTCATCATGATTCTCTTCACCGTAATACTTTTCAGGATTCCTTATCTACTAACATTTTTGCGTCAGCCATTAATTATGACCTGGTAAAACGCCAAGAATATTAAAAGTATTTAATAATTGAACACAGACTATCAATATGATATTATTTATTGCTAAATCTTATATATTAATGGTAATAACTTGTAAATGTTACCTTAATCAAGTAAGAGTTTTTTGTAGCGTATCTATTTGAAGAAACATTTGTATAGATAATCGTTAGTAAATATTAGTAAAGATACAGTCAATTAATCATTACAAGCATAAATCATACTATCTATTTATATATTTAGTCGATGTTCCTTTAATATGTATTTATCAGAGTATGGGTGTTAATTAATTCAAGCGCAATAATTTCTGAACCTGTGACATACACTTCTTCATCTAGATTTATTTGCGCTTACATGAATTATAGTTTGATTATATTTCAATTATTTTAATATCATGTAATTTTATATGCTCAATGATTAAAACATGTTGATTAATTAATTATTTATAGATAAAAGTGGGTATATTTTGAAGGTTGAAGGTTTAACTTGTAACTCATTACTCTTAGTATGTTACTTACAAGAGTTGTCGGCTACTTTATTTATTATTTAAATCCCATGGGAAATTTCCGACCATTTCCAAGACTGAATCAAGAGACTGTTTATCTGAGTCAATCAGACGAGGCAATAGATGAAGATTCTTTCAAAACCCAAGCAAAATTCTTTACTTGAAGAATATTTAGTTTGCTTTTCTGTTTATTTTTTGTGTTGCTAGCTTAGCTACCCATTTCTATTGATGTTTATTATCATCATTGTTTTTCTAATTTTTCTTGCTGTTTTTTTTTCTTGTATTTATTTGCCCTTTTATTGTTATGCAGAAATCTCCTTAAGGTTGTTTATAAACTTCATAAGGATCAATGTCCCTAGGAATATTGAAAAATTATTAAGTTCAGACCTCGTTTTTCAGTAAAATTAAAAAAAAGTTGTTTCAAAAAACTAAAATTGGTTTCAAAAAACTAAAATTGGTTTCAAAAATAAATTGAAAAATACCTAACAAAAACTACAAAGGCGGTTGATAAATTTTAGAAACATTACAAGCACGCTCAGCAAGTCTTTGCTTTTGTAGTTTTTAATCACTATTTATTTTTCGTTCTTTTTAGAAGTTGGCGTTTTGTTTGGTTATTATGCAGAGGATCATTTATCATAGAAAGGAAATTGGCTTTAGTGAAATTTAAATCCATATTTATGAATTTTTGAGTCAGGGTTACTAACCATACGGTCAATTGCTTTAAGAGTCAATTAGCCAAGACGTCGCTGCTCAAATGAGTAATGTGTTAAATTAAAAATTGTACATGAAATTAGGCATAATGTTACATGGCTTGCGTTTTGGGCTCTCGTCCAAAATCAAAGGGGAACGGGGTCTAGGTCAGCACAGTACTCTGTAACAGATAATATGCTAATTGCCGAATGTTTATGTCGAATTTTGAGTGTATCTAATGTCGTACTTAGTGTCGGCCACTTTGAAATATAAACACTCCTAGAATTTTATGAAGAATATAATTAACTTAAATGAAATATTAACTTTGTAGTTGTTTCTACAATTGACATACATTGTGTCATGTCTCTATTATCGTTTAGATTAATTATGAAGCTGAATATACTGAAGCCAAATTGTTGGACATTAATATAGTTTAGATAATTTTAGTTCCTTCAGTTATTAAAGTAGACTCTTTAATAATGGCCTCCGAACATTGAATTGAAATAACTTTCTTGTATGGCACCAGTTATTGCTTAATTTCTTTTCATGGGTTGCATTTTTTTTAGATACTATCTCGATCGTTCTAATTAATGTTGTCTAAATATTTATCTATCTATACTAATCGATCCACGTATCATCAAATACAGCACGTGATTTATAATTTCTTCACACTTCGATTTATCGTATGTGACCTTACATTCGGTTATTTGAAAGGCCTGTAGTTGAATGGCCTTTCAAATAATTTCACCCACGCGTAACAACTGAACTTATGGTGTTACATCAACATTATTTTGTTAGACAACATGTCTTGTTGTTCAAATGATAATAAGACAGTTATTCTAATATTGTAAATGTCGATTGAATCAATAACCTTAAAAGGAGTTGCACGTTTTAAATGTCAGGTCCTATGCATTAAGTAGATGTATTTATTCGATGTACAGTCGTTGCATATGTATGGATAATTGAAAAATATGATAATTATGTTGCGATAGAAAATTTTAATAAGCGTACTTCTATTAAGTACAAATACTGGTATGTATGCCCTCATAAATGACAGAAGTAGCAAATTAGTATTGAAACTTTAGTTTGTCCTTTGATAGTGATTTAATAACATATGTTATTGTATTCAACTTAAGTTACAGTTGAAAAGTTACTAAATTAAACATATTTTTATTAAAATTCTCGAATATAAAACCTAGAGAAGATTTGTTGTCATGGACAACTAATCTTCTCTAGGTATCTATCGAAGAAGTACCTGCCTTATTACTTGCAATAAATATTATGATATTTGTGTTAGCAAATAGTTCAAACGATGTCATAAATATAAAATCGACTTCAATAAAACCGTGTACGCTAATTTAGAATATTTTATATCGTGGATTGCCCTCAAAACTGCTTTATGAAATGCAAATTTTAAATTACAACATAGCTTGTCCTTGCTTCGGGCAAATTTAACTGGCAAAAGTGATTAAGCAAAAATTAATTTAATTTTTTTACTAATAATTACAAAGCATTTATGTTCAATGATAGCAATTAATCTAACATTTACGATCGATAAACGCACATTTACGACTGTGTCAATATATGCGTTACTGGTTCCATAAATCTTATATCAAATTAAATTCTGATTGCATGAAAACAAAAAGAGATCACCTTGTGTATGTTTATAGTATATATATTTTTGATTCTGCTCCTGATAAATTAACCAGTATATAATATTATTTAAAATAATGGCACCTGGCAAAATCTCGTGGAAAAGCAATAGCTACAATAAAGTGAATAAAGCTATGCTAAATAATACTGAGATATAAATACATCGCACAATGTTAAATTTTACCGACATTAGCACTATAACTTCTAATTCAAACATTACATGTGACGTGCCTCGTCGTATGTCGCAATTCATTGATTTATGATTAAACTTGTCATCGTTAAATATCTGTTATTCCACTAGGAACAACGGTCCATACAGTGAAACATGCGACTCTTAAATTCACTACGATCGCTGGCTCATGTTCCGATAAAATTGTTCAAGATTAAAGTATTAAATACCCAAAAATAAAGTCCACTTACGGGTTTATGACGTGGCTTATAACGTTTTATCTTTTATCAGTGATACAGTTGAGAACTGAAACATTTTCATTATTGATCCTTAATGTCTTACAACAATTCTGATCATTGTTAACCGTACATCAACGAAGTGACTTAAATATGTTAGTGTGATTTATTAAGGTGAAAGAGTGAAGCTAGTCTTAGTGAACAAAAATGGCGCAAGCGTGTAACATGGATCACAATTATAAATTAGAAAAGAAGTATTTGGAATTGAAGAGGCTGGTGATAGAGAAAACGGAGGAGCTGAAGAGGAGGGACAAAATAATAGCTATACTAGAAAATGAAATTGATGAAAAAGATACGACCATTAGATATCTTAAGAATGAGATTGATAAATTCAGACAGGTTGTTAAACCTTTGACAAGACAAATAATTGGAAACCATAGAAACGGATTAGAGGAAATAGAATGTTTTGTCATGAAAACGCCTGGCATAGAAAATACTAGAATATTGCCGCTGGGTGAACCGCGACTCAAAAGGACTGCTATATCTGCAGAACCGTTGTCTTCACTATCACAGGAGCATGAAATGAAACTGGTGAAGATACCAAAAAATCAAAAGTGAGTAAAACAATATCATCTATTTATACGGTCAATCAAAATATTTTCGCGCGTTTATTACTTATTCTAATTGGGTAAATAATATGATCTTGTTTTATTTAGAGACCAAAACTTATTTCAATTGAACTAGGTTGTATTTTTGCGAGTGCGTCCTCAAATCAAAGCTCGTTTGTTTCTCACAACGCATAACGCACAACGCATATAAAATATGCTAATATATGAACTGTGCTATACTTTGAGCATAATAATACTCGATTCATCAACCATCGTATACCGTATCGGGATTCCATCGTCTGACACCTAATTCGTGTTAGCAACGATGTAATTTATCGTGGAATACATTCAATCATCAATCACCTGTGATTGAATTTCTTCTGAGTTGCGCACGTTATGCGCCGTGTAAGGTCGACTAGCTTGTATACCTTCGAGAGTCACATTTGGTATAATTACGTTCGAACTTCTCGTCCTCGCCGTGTTGGTGGCTGTCACGACGCGTATCCGTCACGTCAATAGGACTTCGAGATTCACCGTTAGAGTATTGCGCGATTGATATATATCAATATTTATGACTTAACACCACATCAAAGAGTTGACGCCGTTCTGGTGTTTAACGTCGATTTTTCATTCAGCCATCACGTTGGAGACATGATAATTAATGATTTTATTTCTACATGACATATTCGCGTTTTATGATTCTGGTTTACACGATTGATTAGCAAATGACAAGGCATAATAGACAGCTAGATAAATTATATTGATTTCGTTGTATGTAGAACGGACGTAGATATACATAAAAAATAGATTTTAGATTTAAGTGTTCACTTACGATTTTTTTGTTGTATTTGTAGAAAAAAAAATCTTACTTTTTAACTTAAAATATTATTTATTGTAAACTCAAAAACAACGTTTTCATTCAATATTGTTTAATTAATTCAACGGTTTATTCAACTGTCTAAATATATTTTTTTTCTTTTGGCTACAGAGTATACTGATTTGGTATGGTCTGTCCAACTTCGATGACACGGACTTTTCTTCTTTGTTTTAATATTTACACCTTTGACTTGTTTCATTGTGTTGTTGAGACAATAAAACCGCTTCATGTACGATATTTCTACTTATCGTTATCTAGCTTTATTGAGTTCAATACATTTATTGTATAAAACCTAATTGAAATTAAAATATAATTTTATGTATTTGTTATCTATGTAACCATGAAGTTTTAATATGATAAATCAGATCTGATAAGTTCCTACAACTTCTGGACTTCCGTGTATTTAAAAATACAAATATGCGCGTCAATCATTTGACGAATTCTTTATGATGATCTTCAGTAAAGCTCATCCTCTGCTTTCATGACAACAATCAATTTAATATACTTAAATTTTAATTTATTTTTCTTCTATATAAGTATGCTTTATTGCCAGGAAGAGCATCAGAAGCATGTAATTTTGAATGTAATGCTATTGTTTAATATCCAAAGAGTTTTAGCAACTCGATATTCAGTTAGTCCTACTCGTTCATCTCCACCAAGAAGCCCGACTTTCCAAAAAGTTTGCTTCTTAATGGAGGCTACCCTTATAGTTTGCAGACTGCCTAGATCTTAGTGATTCTTAACCTATCAATAAATAGGGATTATTTGACAAAGTTGTAATATTGGTTAAAGTGGTTATATTATGCATAAAGTGTTCTATGTATCTATAATAAAATCTCCGCTCCATGGACCACTTAGAATATTTACAGGGTCCACCAATTTTCAGCGGACCACTGATTAAGACCCGCTACTTTAGATGTATATTATAGTCCACTCCGTGCTATACAAGGAGGCCCGGGCTTTCTTCTATTATAATTACTATATCCATAAAAGTATACGAATCTCCAATATATATACGAGTAGCTTATGGAATAAGGTCTTGTGATTGACTTATGTAAATGGGCCGGTGCCTGAAGTCGTGTATTAACTAGAGCCTTAGAGGTTATTCTAAGACAGTCTTTCCAAGATTATTGTATGCCGCCGTCATTGTATTTTATGGACCCAATTTACTATAATTTAAAGGTAAGTTATTGTGTTATTATGCATGATTATTGGAATTGCACGGTCCATAAATAAATTGTTTAGACATATTTTATTAAATGTTATTTCCATAAATTATGTGTCATAATGATTATATGTAACTAATACATGAATAGTTTGTAAAACAATATTTTATAACTGAGAAAATTAATATTAAGTATTTCTTTAATGTTAAAGTAATAACAATGCATTTGTTGTCCTGAGATTACGTATTTTTTAAATATTAATCCATTTAAGGTGAAAATAAAAACAACGTAATGGAAAACAGACGTAAATATTCTAATCTAAAACATAATCTAATATTAAGGTAACAATGCTATTGTAACAGGTTGGTGCAAACAGTTGATTTGAAAAGAAATGTTATATTTTGCTTTATTCAACAGTAGTTATGTTTTAAGCTCGCAAAGAGAGTGTAACACTAACTTACAGTAATATTTTATTTCCGTGTTGGTTGAGAAAAGATTGACAAATGAGTCCATGATGGTAATCATGAAGGGCTTCAGGGTTCAGCAGGTTCTACTAAAGTGCATTTTGAATTAATGCAATATCAAAGAAAGCGATGAAATGCCCGTTTTCACTAAACATAGGAGTCGCTCAAATATGTCACCTAAATATTTAGGAATCGTCTAAGGTGAATGCATTTCACCAATCACTAGGAACTACTTAACGACATTAAGCATGACTTAAGCATGATATGCGTTACGAGGCACCTTGCGCTAGGTATCTTCGTAATATTACAGTTCACAAATATGCCAAGAGATAAAAAAAGAAAATATTCATATGTTATTAAACTAATAAATAATAAATTGCGTCTATAACGGTGAATTGTATTAAACCACGACCTAATTTTTCGTGTTGTTAGGTAGGTACTACCTATCAGTAATTTATAACGGAACCTTCACTGTGAAGTATGACCTTTTGGATTAAAAAAATAAATAATTAGGCCGCTTTCTCAATTATTTAAGTATAGGTAGTGTTTTTAACGGAATCTGCATTCTGTTAATTGAAAAAAAAAAACGTATTTATTGTGTTAGTATTACATTACCAATAAGATCATTCAATGAAAATATTACACAAAACTTATAGAAAATATTAACAGATCTAATTTAACTTATTTATGTTTATGGAATTGTATGAAATTAAATATGCATGTCATTTTTATGGAATATCTTGAAAATTTTAGAATAAAATTCATACAGGTCAAAATAAGAACTTACTTTTTTTTTAAGTCGGATGTAAGAGTCATTGTGTAAGACAAACGTTACAATAAATATTGAAAAGAGTTACAAAATCTTCTGTTTTTGAAATCATTTAAAGTATTAGAATTAAGCAAAGAACTGAATTAGAATTTTATAGACAACTAATAAGCAAATTAATTACACCACAAGCACCTAAATTTTCTTTTATTTCCAGATCCCGGGAGTTAATCAAGAGCGCTATCTTGGACAACGACTTCATGAAGAATCTGGAGATGACACAGATTCGGGAGATAGTCGACTGCATGTATCCCGTGGAGTATGCGGCGGGCAGCCTAATCATCAAGGAGGGAGATGTCGGCAGCATAGTTTATGTTATGGAGGGTAAGTTTGTTTTCAAAGTACATCAGTATCGCTTTCAGTTTATCATAAAGTAGAAAAAAATGTGAAAAATATATAATATAGATAGTTACCTATTTCAACGAAATGCACATATCGAACGCAAGCATTAATCGCTTATAGATCACAGACGTCCAATTTACTTGTTTCTACTTTTATCTTACTTACTTATTTAGCCCATAAAAACTTTATAAAAGCTAATTTATAATACTAACATCTATAATCACCTACACTTATAAATAATATGTGAAGATTATTTTAAATAAAAAATGTTTACTGTTGCACCATCTTTGTCAAATAGAGCGCTGAAAATTAATAACTTCCAATTGAGTTTGTAAAGAAATAAGGCCTTTATAAGCTTTAAATAATAATAAGGAAAAAATATAATAACTATTTGTATGATTTTTGCTAAAGTGAAATATAATAGGGTACATACCTAATATAATTTCTCAATTGCAAATTTACACCTGAAATTTACAACTTATAACATTTATTTATGTCTTACTAGCTTTCGTTCCTAGGGAAATGATTAGTGGGATATAAAGTCAGAGATCTAAGTCTGCTAATACCCTATCTGTATACCAAATTTCATCAAAATCCGTTCAGTAGTTAAGGCGTAATTTACAGATGAACATCCAAACAAAGAAACTTTTACATTTATAATATTATTAGGATAGGATTTTCTTAGGTATTCTTGTAAATATCCGCCTGTTAGTACCTTTAAAACTGCTTAATTCTTTAGAATAATATTGTAAATTTTGCTTACTTAATTTTCTACTACGAACTACCATCTAGTGACAGAAAGTAATACTATTTGTTATTTTTAAAGTATACATTAGATGGCGCTGTTGACGTGATAGTTACATATAACTTCATAAGATGGCACTAGTAGTTATTGCCAACGCCATCTAGTGTGCAGTAGCAAAGTCAGGTTTCGATATTTTCTCACCAGAGGACACTAGTATACCGAAAATTTTTACAGTCAAAAGAAAGAATAATGTTTTTTTTTGTGATTTAATAAAAAATAGCTTAGTCGGTAATTATAAAGTTGATATGTGTATTGTTTGTCTCAGTTTTTCATGTATACAAATAGTACGAAAGTTATGATTTTACTGTCAACTAATTATGTCGCTAGTGATATGATACAGTGATTGAAGTTAGCGCAAAAAATAGATATGTGTACCTAAGATGAATAACGTACTTATATACCTACCTGTCTTATACTTCCGAGTTCTATTCACACATGCTAGTTATTATTTTCAATAACAGATTTTAAAAATCGATATGTAGTCTGAGCGCTTAGTGTAAGTTTTTTTGACGTTTACGTTCACTGTCGATCGTGAGCGCGTTAAGATTTTAGTATGGAATCCGGTACAGCGCCCCTAGCGGTAACTACCAAGAACTACAAATCTCCATACAAATTCTTAACGCGCTCACTAGTGAACGCGTTAGCGTAAAACTTTACACTTACCACTCTGTTTACATTTTTCCTGTCATTCCAAATTATATTATTCTTCAGGATCGTAACGTTCACAAGCTCATAATGTATACTATATTTGTAATACAATATACCTTTTAAAAATATATAATTAAGTCAATGTTTCTATTATTGCACATGTTTGTGTTATTCGATTGCTATCCATGACCGTGGAAAATAATCTTGTTGCTTTTTTGTTAATTTCTTTAATGTATTATATGTTAGTCTTCCAAAAAAATGTGAACAGAATAAAAATATAATTAAAAACCATTTATATTTTTCATCGCGGTCTCGACATGGTGTACCTGTGTATGCAAGTGTCACCTCACTTTTCTCGAGAAAGCGCAAAAGTTGCACTAGCGTGACGCCACTTTTCCAACCCAAGCCGGTAGCGTCGCTAGCCAGCATTAGATTTCTAGTTTCAAATAGAAAGACGGGTTACTCGTTACAATATATAATTTCTATGTTAAAGTAGACAGACAGACATGTAATAAGGATTCTTTTTAGGTTCTAAAATTCATGAATTAACATTTATAGTTATTATTTACTCGAAGCAGTACAGATATCTATAACGTTTCCATAGATGTAACTCTATTCACATTCTGGATATACTTTTTTTAATTACGAAATTATCAATAAATACGGTTTTATATATAAAACGCTCTGGATAATAACTACATAGTATAAAATAAAGTCGCTTTTTCTGTCCCTATATCCCTATGTATGCATAAAACTTTAAAACTATGCGGTTTTTTTTTTCATAGATAAGATGATTCAAAAGGTTTTTATGTATAATACAACACAAGCGGAAAGCTAGTTTAACATAAAGAAGACGAATTTTAGAATAGAACTTATTTTACACGATCCTTAGTTTAAATAAATATGATATTTAGATTTTCAGTTATTATCTATTATTCCTACATTTTATAAACATTCGTTTTACTTGTTTTTTTAGAAATACTTTTATTTTCAGTTCGGTGTCTATACTAATTTTATAAAGAGGAAACATTTGATTGTTTCCATCGAATAGACTCCGAAACTACTGGAGCGAAAATTCGGTCACCTACGGGCAGCTACATCATATGTGGTGAACATAGGCTATATTTTATCTCGAAAAATAACAAATAAATGGATGAAAATTTGTATGGCGAATTAAATCACATTTAGGTGTTACCACATTATGTCCATGTCCATGTCATGAATGAAAACCACGCGGGCAAATCCACTGGCGGAAAGCTAGTTTATATCATAGCGGATTACGTGAATCATTTTAGTTATTATTAAAATTATGTTGCTTACAAACCTTCTGTCTAATCCGAAGCCAGTTTTTGGGATGACAAAAAGTTTGTCCAACCAAAAACATGACCCGTGTCTAAGCGAGTCGTGATAAAAAACTACTGACCGTCGTTCTATGTTTATTATTCAATGTTACGTTTGCCTGAGTCATCGACTAAACAAAAAATAACGGAAATTAGTCCACTTTCGTCACCTTAACACAAAAAGCTCTGAAATGTTATGAAACGGAAAATAAAACTGTCCAGGGTTGTTCACTGGCTAGGCGTCGCTGGATCCGATTAATATTATGAAAAGAGACACAAAAAATAGCGGTCGCTCGGTGCGTTCAGAGACAAAACCAGTTTTAAATTTGGAATAATGACAATTAATAATAGATCAATGACGCATAACAAGAAAAGAGGATATACCTACTTATCCAACATCATAAATTAGCGCGTGTTTTTTATTATTGACATTTGTATCATATAGTAAGTAGGAATACCGTTTTAATTTGTATTTGTTTTAATGATTAGATATGTGTATGTTATTACACTTTTTCATCCTAGTCATTACATTAAAAGTTGGATTTACATTTACGTAATTTGTTCTTCATTCTTATCACCTATTCTATGAACAAAATTGTTTGTTTCAAGCAGAGAATTAAATTATTTCTCAGAAGAATTAAGTAGCGACAGCTGCGACAGGGTATGAGAGCCGAATAAAGCATTACATATTATTTTAAATTAATAACTCGAAAACCAACCAATTAAATTAAAAAAAATACATCAAATTATTTCACTTTGATATGATATGACGTAATTGCTATTAGTGGTTTGGTATAAATGGCGTTTTAATTACTCTCTTATAAAAGTAATTTCTCACAAAAAACATTGTCTTATATCACGTGTTACTTATGCCGCAATTAATAAATGTTTGTTTCAAGAAAGTTATTAATTTTCAGATAGTCGTTGTTGTAGTAATTAAGTGTTTTTTTTTTACTGATATGTTAGCGCTAAGATGACTTTATTAATTTGACTAAAAGGCCGTTAATTAAGTATTGTATCAAAGAAGCGAATGAATTTTTAGTACAAAATCATTCTGTTTTTGTAATTAGAACGCAAATAAAACTTCGATAAAAATAAACAAAATAATTTCTCTAGGGATGTGCGAATGAATTTTGTTTAATTCTTGTTTATAATTAATTAGTATGAAACTTTGTTTTCACAAAATCGCACTGAAAACTAAAAGCGCTCGCAGGACTGCAAATAAAGTAATTTCAAATATGGCGGCGGCCCTACAGTTTGTCCAGACAATACATGATCAGAGACCGACCTTCGTAGACGGAACTTGAGTGACCTTGCCGTTCAAACTTTCTCGTTTCAAATCTTCTGACCCTTTTGCTCATTACAATAAGATCAATGTTGCGCTGAACATTATGTGTAGCGGCAGTTATGCCGGTGACGTCATAATGATGCCTTCGAAGTGAAAGCGATGACCGCTGTTGTGCGCATAGTTCGCTAATACCAGTTCCAAAAATAGATTTATTTTATGCAATAGGTATTGTAAGGGGACCCAATACATATAATGTCAAGGCGGATATGTCAAGTAATGTCAAAAATGACATTTCAATTAAAATGAAGGTGTAATTAGAAATACTAAGACCGCTAATATTCTATAATATAAGCATTACGGGGTGAATGTATCTTTATATAGCATTATAGAAGTTTAAGAATTGCATGCAAAAACATATCAGTGGATAATACTGCCAAAACTATATGTTTTTTACCTGACTTGTTCATAACATTGATTTTGGAGTGTGTAAATGTAACTAAATGTTTATGATATAATAGATACAATCAACAGCATGTCAGGTTAAATTGCTTTAATTTATTACAAATATTAATCTGTCGTTGAAAATTGATTGCTAAAATTTGACTGTGCTTATGTATAATAGGATCCGTATTACTAAAAATCTTAATTTATACAGGGTTATTCGTTAAATGGCTTAGTGCTTAACGTACTCTACTACTGTACTCTTAAAATCTATATTCAATTTATCGTTGACTGTTTCGTCGTCTACTCTATCTTACGTATTTTAAATGTCATAGGTTAGTAGTTCAGAACATAATGAACCAACTTCATTGTGTTCTAAACTACTATCTATCGAAAAACTGATTTATGGAAAATCGGTTTCTATAGTTCAACTCCATCGAACTCGCAGGACTAGATAGCTAACA